ATGAATCACATAACATGAAAAAAAATGTGGAGTTATTGACTGAAATTAAAAGAAAGTTATGCATATAAATGATGGCTTTTTTCTAGTAGGCTTTTTGCTTGAAGCTGAAAAATAAAATCTGCTAATTGGTTTTCAAGCAAATTTCCTTTGCTTTTTTTCATATGATCAAAATGTTACAAACTATTACTAGAACGAGAAGGCGAACGAATTCCAGTACATTCACCAGATGAGCTACGGATGAATTTTTTCTTGACATCACTGTGCTACCTTAGCAATTTCTTTCTTATGTTGCTTAGTAAAGCATATCTTTTATGTGAATTGAGTTGTGATTTTGTTGGCATAATTAAGATTTTTAATGGCATCAGACTAAGTATTATTTAGATGCTAAGCTGAACCATAATTAATCTTCTTTTCAGCATTTAAATGATTAAATTGTAACTTGGTCCCGATTTTAATGAAATTAATGTTTATTTTTCGATTTCTTCAGAAATAGCTTATAAATTTAATTACCATTATATAAATGTGACACGAAATGATAATTTATATGATTTTTCAATTTTTGCAAGTTGAAATTAAATTTTGAAATTTTAACAAAAAAAATAGAAATATTGTCAAGAGATCCGAATGCAACCATTCTAATTCAGAATAAAAAAGAACGAAATGAATTTTTTAGCCCAATAACGTAAACCACTTCTCCAGTAATTTTAACAAGGTGATTCTTCCAACATAAACTATTGTCATTCTATACTTTTTTGTTCATAGTTTTCATTTTAAGGTAAACAATACAAACTATATCAGAAAAATTTTGAATCACCAGTCTTAAATGAATTGCAGTTTGTAACTGCTACAATTAAATATTTTGATCTTAAGCTTAGAGCCTATGAAGTTCAACAATCTTTAAACCTTTAACTTTTCATATTTGGATTGAATAAACTGTCATGAAGCTTAAACAAAATATTCTTTCTGATTATTTTCATTTTCAGTCAAATATAATGCTTAGAATTTGCAATCTTTTGATTATTAAAGACGTAGCTAATAATTGAAGCAGTACAATTTATGAAATAAGTCATTGAAAGAAATTTGTAGTTCAAATACTTATTTTGAATATTTCTGTTCAATTACTTAGCCAATTTGTAAAGTAAAGTTAAAAAATACTGAAAACAATGAATTGTAGAAAGTCTTTTACTTGGATTCTTCTGCAAATATTTCTGAAAAAAAATAGTTACATTAAAGTTATATTACGGGAAAGAAGCTGGAAATGAAATATCCAGAAAAAGAATCAAAACGAAAACAAAAATAGCGATGACCTCACTCAGTGAACTGCATTTGTATTACTTTCAATTTATGCGTAACAAAAGATCCATTTTTCAATTAATATTGCTGTTATTCGATATATTAATATTTTTCTTTATACTGCATACTTTGAAATAATTACGGGAACTACACGTTTAAGATGTAGAAATAACAAACTAAAAATTTTAATGCTGCAATAATTTATAAAACTTCGATAATATGCAAAGGAAAGTATATTAATGAATGACCAATTTGAAATTTAAATCTCATCAGTATTTTGTGCTGTCCAAAATTTTTTCGTACGTGTAACACTTTTTATGCTAGATATCATTGTAAGTGCATGTGCAATATTAGCAAACTATAAATTTGCTCATTTAAACTATCTTAATTTTTTTCTAACTTAAAAGAAAAAATTATTAGAGCGTAAGATAATGTTGTGAGATTTTCAAAACCATATGCGAACATATTGCTCATTTTTCTTTATTTTATTGTTTTGGAAAACTGTGTGGTATGACAAATTTTTTAATAGGTAATTTTATGGAATATTAGTGATTTTTCTTCTGTATCTTAAAAGAAATTCTTTGGTAGAAAAATCACACGTTTTATTTAATATTAAGCACTTGTTTTGATTAAACATTTGAACCAAAAAGAGATTATCTGTAAAAATTTACTCAGTGAATCTTCTCGAGTCCTTGACATTATTTTTTATCTTATTATACCCTTCCCTTTAATCCAACAGTTCTAAAAATTTTGCTTATCAGTTGGTAACGTAACGTGCTATGTTAATTCGTTCTACACACTTTTATTATGCAACTAAAAATTCTTTTTCAGTATTTTAAAATTTCAGTAAGTAAGATATCTTGCTCTGAACTCTTTGATAAGTTCAAATTTGCAATCATCAAGGCTAATAGATAATTATATATTTCTGTTAAATTTGGCTCTATTTTAAACTTTAAAAACAAAAACTACAAGTTAAAAGGATCAACACAATAGTCTTTGTTGATTGAGTTATTTTTTGCACGTCGGTATATATAAATTCTATAAACTAATAAATTCCATCAACACTGACTTGCATGTAATCAAAGTTCTAAATGTCTATATGTGCGCATTATTATTACTGCTGACTGTATCACAAATTGAACAGTCGAGATCAAAATCCTGTGTAGAATAAATCAGTATATGTAGATCAAACTTGAAATTACAAATTATAGCAGATAGATCAAAAGAAAATGTGAATGAAAAAATTTTTGAGAGCAAATAACTTCTGTTACCAGTGATTTCCCAAGAGCATTTAGTAAGCTTAAGACTGTCATGGAAGGCAATCAGCTTGGAGACGAAAGCCATCGAGAGTAGTTGATATTATATAATTTCAATTCTTCATTGTCCAAAATGGTTTTAGGATAGATCAATTTGAATTAGCGCTTCTGTTAACCATTTGTACACATTTATCTTTTATTTTTGGAATTAAAATTTTATCAAATAAATTATTCTATTTAATGCTTAAAATTAAAAGAAAGCATTGATATTTCCAATTTCTTTTTTGTATACTATCATTACTTTATGCATTTTATAGCGTACGAATTCCATATAGTAGGTACGTGATTAAATTTTGTGAATATTAAATGATATCAATTTTGCACCTGAAATTGACAAAGAGCTTTACTCGTTTTCCATAAATTAAGAAAAAAAAACAAAACAAGACTGTCGATAAATCAGAATTTTTCATTTATATTGTACAAAGTCCTGTTATGGTTTCACAGAACAAGTTAGTGTGACAAGTTACCCGTTATTATTATTCTTGTTATTGCTATTTTTATCGCTATTGTTGTTGTTGTTGATATTGTTGGTTGTCAACAACTATTTTGATATTCTTACCGCAAAATCAAATTAAATAAAACTGTGACAGGTAGCGATCAACATAATGGCCAATTAAAAGGAATCATTAAAGGTCCATAGTAATCGTGGCAGATAGTGTTAAAATGATCTAGTGTTTGAAAATGCTTACCATTGTCTTTTCATGATTCGCAATTGAAAAATTAAACAAATTGTAAAATAATCGTATTCAATGATGATGGAAATGATAAATGTAATCAAAATAATAGAAAAATAACAATATAATCTCCGGTAAAACATGTGTACAATGAAACAATCATAAATTTTACTCACAAACTAAAAAAAAAACAACACATTCATGAAAGCATTTTTTCAATAATATGGTACTTTTAAAAATAAAACATCACAAATTAAAATTTATAACAAAAACACCGAATTAAATGAATTCAAATGGTTTTTTTTTCCAAAAAGCTTTCAAAATTATTTTGCAATCTTCGATATTAATTATGCATGCTATTCAAGAAGTCAATTCTTTAAGGTGAGCCAATTAACTAATGAAAGTTTATGACCTTCGACCTCTGAGAATGCAGTTAAGCAATATTCCCAAGAGAGGAACACAAGAAATGAATGACAAGAAATGATGAGAACAAGATGAAGCATCTGTTGCTCTATAGTAAGTAATACTAGCAATTGCAATAAATATAATAATAATAATGCCATATTTCAATGACTCTAATGTCAAATTTATTTCATTTATTCGATGTAATTACGGTGAAATTTATGGAAAAGAAAATACATTTCGCAAATCTAAGCTTTTTGTAAAGTACATAAACAGAAGTGATAAAATTGAATCAAAATTTTATAATTAAATAGCTATAATCGCTATCACATATATGACATGTATACACAGTATCTCAGTTTTTTAAATATGAAATGGATATGTATCAAGTTTGTAAATAAAACTTATAACTTAATTATTTTTGACAATGAAAATTACTCTAATAAAATTGAGCAGTACGCTAATTTTGTTCATTTAATTTTGATTTAATTTATAAGATAAATTAAGTTATAAAATTAAGTAATGAGTTAATTTATCTTATAAACTAAATTTTTATAGATTAGATTCATTTTTGTGAGCTAGACTTTTTTAAGCTTTTTTGAGCAGTAAATGAAGATATTAAGAAATATTTTTGGTTGTTACTATTTTTTTTAAATAGTTTAAAAAAGATCAGTAAAAGAATAAAAACCCTAATTTTGCAATTTTCAAAATAATAAATGTATGAATATTTAAGAATAAATAATGGCTTATTTTAAACAAACTTAACTATCTAGAAAATTACTCAAAATGAATAGCATATTGTATAATTAATTTAAAAAGCTTTTTTAACAACAAACATATAATAATAAGTAAACATGGTGCAAATACACAGTACAGTATTAAAATCTGATGGCAAAGTTTAGAGTAAACTGACAGAACATTGAAATTGTATGAGATGAATTCACTTTGCGCAAAAAAGTACTTTTAGAGTTTTTCAAATTACAAATTGCAAATTAAAAAAACTTTTGCTGCTTCTTTATGAATGAAACATTTAAAAACTAGCTCTCATTATGAATTTTTACCAAATAAAATCTAAACTCATATTATAAAATTTCGAATCAGAAAAACGAAACAATCAGTTTACTTCAAATTATGAACATTAACAATTTCTTGCAGTTTTACAAAGCTAGGATATTAATTAAGTACTACCGATATGCATGAACACAAAGCATTTTTGTTATTTAGAATTGTAAATGATCTCAAGAAAGTTTGACAGAAAGCTAGTGATCATTTTTTATCAAGTTTCAATAAATTTTCAGTAAATGATAGAAATTTTTCATGTTGATGACGATAATATGGAATCAATAGTAAATGAATTACAAGCAGACTTTGTAGTTTCTATGCTAGATAAATTGGACTGTGCTTGATTTATGGTAGGTAACAATAAGAGGCTGTGAGTTGTAATGAGAAATTGTTGCGGATCTACCAGTCCTCTTGGAATTACGGATGGTGGTGATGGATTCGGAAACAACCACTGAAGTGGAGAACACGTATGCTGATGGTAAGCTAACTTTGGTAAAGGATTTTGTGAATCAACACTGGTTCCATACGATTGAACCTATTCATTTAATTATATCAGAAATAAACGATGCATACATATTAGTACAAAAACAAACCTTGACTAACTCATAATTTTTGTAAAAGACATCATTTCATCAGATTAGCACATATGGAAAATATCTTATGTTCATTTTGAAATTTAATAATTTCAAATAGATATTAAAAATTACTGAAAATGTTGCAATGCACAGTGATTGCACAAGCTTAGTAAAGCTAACACTTTTCTTGAATTGTCAGATATTTATAAAACGTGAAAATATACCTTGAACCTTTTTCTTCGTCTCAAGCAGCTACCATTTTCAAACATGCCTAAAGCATTTGGATGAACTGCCCAGTATGATCCCTTGCCGGGTCTGTCTGGTCGTCGCGGTATCTATAATTGCGTATTTTGGCAATGATCTTTACTCATCTTATTTTTTTGTTTTTTTTTCCAAATAATTCCATAGTTTGGACCTTCTTTTAACGAAGTTTCAATGATTCTTAATGACAATTTATAATATTTTGAGTAATTAAAATCAATTTATAATATTTTTATCAATGATTTGAAATGCAAAGACATTCACAGTGAAACAAGCTTCACATACTTTCACAAACCTTTTAATATTTATATATATATATGAAACTTATTTCACTATGAATGTGCTTGTATTATAAGAATATCTTTATAAAATCATATCTTCTTTGCTTACAAAAAATGATTTTATATCATTAATTAATTTTAAGGTGATCTATCTATCTAATCTATAAGGATAGATCACCTTGAAATCAATCACACATTACAATGTTAAAATCTGAAGATGAAGTTTTAGAGTAATCTGACGGAACGAGGAAATTATATGAGATGAATTCACTTTGCGCAAAAAGGATAGATCACCTTAAAATCAATTAATCTCTTGAGCTCTTTTTTAGCTCATCTTTTCATACTTGATTTATCTCCTTTATTATATTTTTGTTTCTGAAAACAAATTTTTGAGATTAAAATTTTGATGAAAGTTTAAATCGAGCACTGTGAGACAAAATTTACTATTATATAAAAACCAAATATTGAGTTTTGTGTGTATTATATCCATGAAAAGCAATAACACGAAGGAAAGACTGATTTTTTTAGTTCTTTACTGAAAGAAATAATTGAAATTTTAGTACTGATAATAGTATTAGCTTTATATTTAATTAAACTAACCATCAATTACGACAGGAATTCACATTTCAAGAAGGAATTTTAGAGTGAATATTTCATTAACTTGAATAGTTATTTGAACCTGTTTTTTTTTGTTTTTTTTTTGACTAAAAAAATTACTGAACGGCACAGGTAAGTTTCCCAAGACTGGATAATATTTCTTAGTGCACAGCGGGTAGTCGTAGTTTATTTACGATCCTATCCAATATTATTAAATATTTTTATTAAAGTTAAAAATGCCAAATAAATCATCAAAATTGACCTTCAAATATTTTCATGTAAATTGACAATTAAAATCAGCAGATTAAGGGTAAAGTTTAAAAAATATTCGCTAATTAAATACGGAGATTGTTTACTTATATCAAAATGTAGTCAACAAAGTTAAATTTCATTAATTCTTAATATTACTTAAAAATTCAATACAATAGAGTCTTAAGATTCTTGACGAAGACGATACGCGAAAGAGTAACTTCTGATTACATTAACTTAACTATTTTGACAGAATGAATTTGCTAATTAAATTTCCTTTTATCAATTTCTTGGTTTCGTTTTTGCAAAATAATTCGTTTTGATAAACAAAAGTATTTGATTACTTTTAAATAAAATTTACAAATGTGCTGTAATAACTGTACATATAAATGGTTTTCTTATTTGGTGCTGTTTATCCTAGTCAAAAACAAAGATGAAGATTCTTTAAGGTAGAACTGAAGATTTTATAAAAGTATTTTGTAGTTTATGCAACTATAATTAAAATTACATTTGCTAGTGCTTTTCTATTATATTTGTTGAAATTTAAAATGAAAAAAGCATATTTTTTGAAAAAAATGATACCTTAACAAAACAATCATTGAATGACAAATTGTGTCTGAGTGAATTCTGCCACCGTTGGGTATTTTTACGATAGAATGGAAATTTGTCCATAATATATTTGTAAATTTCAGTTAGTGGTAGCATTTTTTCTTCTGAATTCTGAATCGCCATGTAGGTTAGCCAAATATAAGAATATGGAGGCTTCTAGAATAATTCATAATTTAGTATATCTGTTTTTTTTTTCAATGAAAATCAACCAAGGATGAAGCAATAAATATATAAAAGGAGTATTAATAGACTGTTAATAATATGAATAACTAAGGCAGTAAAAATTTATACAAAACCACTAAATTAACTGCAAGTTTGCAATGGTAACTCAATTTTTTATGCTGTTTATTAGAAGTAATATAATAACTATCATCCGAAAAGATACAGAGTAATAAGCATGTTTGTTATTTGAAAAAAAAATTGTAACTATTTAATTATTATCAAATTGCACAGTTACAGTAAGTAGTCACATGAAGATTTACAAGTTATTAATTAAAAATAAATAAACGTTATTTCCAACCAATAACATAATTAATCAACATGAAGCAAGACTTATTGTCATTCTACAAACGCGACTGTAGAAATTTGCTGACAAACCTATGGAAAAATTATTTCCATAGTAGAAAATGCTAGAATTATTTTACTAGGAGCAAATATGTGCATTAGAACTCATGCATAAAATACTCAATTTTTCATGCTCAGAAATCAACTAATTTCTTCTATATTTTCATGAATATAACTGAAAATAATTCGGTAAAATTGAGCCATCTTTTTGCCAAAATAAAAACTTATTATTCAATACAAAAATTGTTACGCTGTAATTCAATGGAAGGTTTACTTATTACAAGGAAAGAAAATGTGCGAAAAGTTTGTTAACGTATGAATAAAATACCTGATCATCGTAAGAATTTTTTCCCGGTCTTGGCATCAGGAAGTTTTATTGAAAATTACAGGCTATATCACTGCTGCCACTTTCGCTAACTGTTCTTTATGTTTGTCAATAAATCTGATGGTTTATTAGTAATAATTAGTTTTTTTATTGAAGTAAATGTCGTAAAATAATGATAATAGTAATAATTTAACTATTGTTTTATAGAAAAAATTATCATAAATTCATAGTAAATATTTAAATGAATTCAGAAAATAAACAGGAAGGAAAAAGAAGTAGACTAGTTTGAAATTATTCAGACCTTTCAATAAGATGAAAGAAAAATAATATAGACATTTGATTCAGTCCTTGTGAATGATCATTGAAATGAGCAAATAAATACTAAATAGCTCATTCTTAAACTTATATTTTTTCAGAGCAACTCAAATACGTTCACGTAGAAGTCATATCTGCCTGAATAACGAAGTAAAATAAAGGAGGAGAGAACCAGGCTATCGCAGGTGTCGCAGCCAGCGTCGCAACCATTTTGATTGTTTGGGCGGGTATACTGAGATCATTTCAGAAAAGTGATAGGTCAATACGGTATTAAAAGACACACCCCAATCGTTCATTTTTAACAGCACTTTCTCCTGGGTATACTGATAGACTACGGTACTCATGGGTTTTGTTTTCTTAAAGTTTAACTAACTCTACTCATATTCAGCGAATAAATATTTATTACTCGTATATATGCTATCGAAAAGTTATTTTTATTAGAGCACAACATCTCTTTCATTTGACAATAATCAATACGGCAGTTTATAAGTTTAAGACATTTTAGCCAATCTCATCTGATCCATTGCTATTACGGCCTAAACAACGTCACTGCAGACAAATATTGAACTTATTGAAGAGTAGCTGGTAATTAACAGCCTGATCAGGAGCATATCGCTGCTTTATTAGATATTACGAGCGATAACTAATAATGATACTTGGATAAAAGGTATTTATTATTGGTAAGTTAAAATTTTTGAAAATAACAATGAATTAAACTTGACTGTTTGACTGTCGTAACAAGTTATATAATCCACTACGTGAAAGCAGTCAAGCAGACAATGTTATGTCCGTATATTATTTTTCAATATAATAATATTCTTTTCAGTTGGTTATTAGATTTTGATTGTATTCAAAGAATCAATAGTTCTAGTAGTTCAAACCACAAAACATATAAGACTAAGCTTTTTTTATAAAATCAAACTCATATTAAAAGTAATCAAAACTATGTATCGCATTATATTCATCTTGTTTAATTTTATATTCTTTCATGACAAATTCACACACAAGTTAGAAATTAAAAATAATGCAAAATAAAAAATTTAGTAATTTGAATTTTCAAAGTTTGATTTGCATTCATTCATTCATTTGAAAAACCTACTTGACTTTTATCAAAAAAGACGAATATAGTATTGGACACAATAAGTGAAGCAAACAAATCTAATGCATCTATTCTCATTTTACTTTAATGAATTTTTCATGTAGGAAGTATTCTTGTCAGAACGGTAGGAGAAAAGTTTTAAGTTTAGCTAATTAAAATATTAGCATCTCTTTTCTTCGCGTCTTTCTTCTTCGGATGTATAAATAAAATGCAATTATTAAGAGATTACTTTTGATTCAGTCAACAAATCTATGAGTAAAAGTTTTTAAGTCAGAATATTGAAAATTGAATTGAAAAGTTCATAATTATTTGCAACAACCTATATGCATTTAACAAGATTGCATGACTTATTTTAAAAATTATTGAATACAGTAACTTAAATAAATGAAATTTGTCCACAAATTATCTTTATGATCAAAAAGTACTACTTTATAAGTTTCTTTAAGTTAACTGAAAACTAAAAAAGTCTTCAAGATTTTAAACTAAAATTAATTTTTGTTTATCTTTAAAGCATTGTTCAAACCTAAAATACTTTGAAAATGTAAATTATTTTCAAATCATTTCTTCTAACTAATGAATATTTTAGCAAGATCACAACTGCTTGTAAGTTGCTCGTATACACGATTTATAAAAAAAACCAAGAATATGTAGGCTTTTGGTATTCATACTGAATGTATTTATCTTTCATTCATCTATAGTCAATGATATAATTTTTGGGCATAAGATTCTTATATAGTTAAATCAAATTGTGTATAACTCATTTCGTTTTTTGCTTACATCCAAATTAATTGTCATTAACATATAAGTTAAGTAATTTTGAAAGAAAGAAAAGGCACAAATGTGAGCTTACTTTGTGATTTTTGAAGGTCATATCATAAGTGAGGTTTCTGACATCACAGCACTCATTTATTTATTATTCGTTTTTCACCTCGGCGGGGTGTAGTGAGTGATTTGAAAACATTTGTCACGTTAAATATTGACGAAAAATTGTAAGTTTGATTTTTGCGGTATTTTTGTACACAACAAAAACTGTTTCCTTGCAATTCGTTCGTTCCAAAATATTTCGGTTAAAATGTAAATGTTTGTGATTTTCGGGCACAGCATGAAACATTCATCAAATTGTCAGCAAATAATATTAAGTTTTTTATTGTGTTAATGAGATTTCGTTTTCAACAAATAATAAATAATTTTATTATTCACAAAGAAGGCAAAAACTGAAATGTTTAGATATATTATTTTAAAATTTTAAAAATTATTTTTATTTTAATGAAATAGATTTCAAAACACGAACACGTTTTAATTAATTACGTGATAATGCTTGCTTTGTTATTTTCTTATTTTTATTGTAAATTATTAAATCGAGTATTACTCTTTCATATACTTAGTTACTTTTTGTGATAAAGATTGTAACTGTTATGCACAAAAATCATTTTCAGTAGAAAAAATTGTTGTACAATAATAAAGATTTTCAGTATTATAGCATTTGATACCAATAAACATGTCAGAACAAAAAATTATTACATATTGCTTTACTGAATTGCTTTATATCAATTGAGTTCACATGTGTTATAAACGATTTACTTAATTAAATTCATTTTGAAATTGGAGCTTAATTTACGTAAAATATCGATGTCATTTAAAGTTTTATTTTCTTAAATGTGCTAATTGTAAATTTTAATTAATGCATTTTCATTACAAAAATCATTTACAAAAGTCATTTTTATTGAAATATTATTTAACTTAACTTTTTTATGTACTGTATTCGGTGTCTAAATACTTCCAATTTCAGTAGTACTAAACTGCATAATTAAACAGAAGCAAAATCTTAAAATTATTCTTATTTTTTCTTTCACCTCTTAATTTACTCTTTATTATTTCTCTTAATTGTGTTTTCTAAAAATTCATCCCTTCTACCTTTAATTTCTTTTTCAAATATTTAATTGTTTTGAAAAATCATAAGACTAAGAGAATTTATGGGCAATTAACTCATAAATAACAGGCAAACAATTATCAGAAAAAATAAATTCTTTTTCATTCGCATTAATATGTTTACCACAAGTGCTCACACTAAAACGGTCCCGCATTACGTTATTATTGGGTGAATTTCTCGAACTACTGTATCTCTAATATTTGAAAAACAAGTAAATATGTTTTATTTAATCTTCTAATTACTTTTTTTTTCTTTATTATTTGCTAGCTTCAAATGAATGAATTTAAATGCTATGAAGTGAATAAGCTCACAAAGTTTCCTTAAATTATCAAAAATGAAAAATGGAAAAATGACTCTATCTTAAAAACAAAACTTCATATTTTGACTAACTTTCCATCAATTATTAATAAGTTGCAATGCAAAACTTGGCATTTAATTTACATTTTCAAGAAGTAGTTACATTTCTTTCTTGAACCATGAAGAGCTAAGCGTATTTGAACTTTTTTTTTCTGCAAACTCCATCAATCTACCAAATCAAATGGACAGCAGAAAGGTGATGAACACCAAAATAAGATATTTTCGACAGCATTTTATTTTGTTAAAAGCAATTAATGAATAATTATAATAACTTAATAAGTATAAGTAAAAGACTTTTGGTCATTCCATTTATTGCAGTAACATTTAATATCGTTGTGCAAGTGAAAGACTTTCAAACAAAAGTTTAGCTTGAAACTGAATGTACTAAAAAAAGAATGTGTATTTAAGACAGTTTGTAATGAAGCAACATCACAATAAAAATTCGTATTTATTGTCAAGAATGATTTGTTCAGAAATGTTTAGGTCGAAGAAAGTAACGAAGAAATCAATTTTGCTTGGCCTCTTCAAGGTTTATTGCATAATAAGCGCATCGAAGCAGACGAATAGACGTCAAGAAGAACAAAAAAGAGTACAAAACAGCCATACTGTTTTTTGTACTTGACCATATTTGTTGCTGTTCAAAAATTTCTACTTTTATCATTTCTCAAACAATTTTTAACAAAAATTTTTAAACGTCTGATGCCGCCATTTTCAATTTTAAAACATTTGAACTTGATTAAAGAAAAACTTTTGTTAAAGCCATGCAAATTTTTTTGTACATAAAACTTTTGCATTCTACAAACAATCATTGTTGAAAAAATTTAAATGAATTCTAAAATCATAGAAATTTTAATAAAATCATCTTAATAATTTTGTAAATGCCGTCGACCTGTTCCACGATTCAGGCCATGATTATATGGCATGATAAGACGATAAATTGATGCCATGTTTGGAAAGCCAACATCATAAGCGTTGTAAATTCCATCAATTCCAACAATTGGAACATCAAATGTTGTTCCACCAGATATCTCACCTGTGAAAACTATTAATTGCATATCAGATTGCTTTGAAATTGGTCGCTCCAAATTATTGATAAACATAGAATTTATATGCATATTTATTCTGAAAATGTAGTATATATTGAGGATTAAAATAAGACATTGAAATTAGACTTCAAATATTTTCAGTGAAATAATTTGCAGAAATTAAGTTCTAGTTAATCATTTCTACCTTCTGGCCAATTCACAAGCGTAGTTTGAGTGCCTCTGTAAAAAGATAATCCATGATGTCTTGGTTTGTCAAATGTGCTGTAAGTACCTAAATAGCTTTAATGCAATTCTTCTTATGACTTGTTTTTACAAAAATAAACAGAATAAACACATCATCAAATGAAATACACATAATAAAATGAAATTCTTACCAGTAACTAAAACCATTTATAAATAAATAAAACCATTTCGTTTTAAAAGTTTAATTTTCTAAATATAGCGTAAAATGATCGCAGCTATTTAAAAATTTTTCACAATAATAAGAGTGTATGATAAAATTTTTATCATTTCAAAAACAGCATGCCAGTGAATTCTTTATCCCATGAAAAAACAGTTGATTAAAAGTTGCAAAAAAATTAAAAGAAGCAAAAATGAAAAACATTAAATGCAAACCCATTAGCAGCTTACTTAAAGGATCATATCCGTAAAATGTTCCTCGTACTGTTGGTGGAGCATAATAGACACCTTGTGGAAAAGGTATTTGATTAGGAACTGGTTGCCAAATACCTCTACACTTTTTATACCATCTACAAAAAATCGCTTTTGCATCTTCTTTTGGCAGAAAATTAGATATTTTGAATGTTATTGAGTTATGTCATGTTCTAAAAATTTTATCCTACCTTCAGCTTAAAAAAAAAGATATCCATACTTCACAAATGGAAAGCGCAAGAAATCAGCAAATTATTTCGTTAACATAGTGAACAAATATATTATCTGAGAAATTTCACACCTCTGGCAATTTGCTAAAGCACCCGATCGGGCACCTGGACCACATTCCATATTCATGATCCACTGTAGATAGATACATTCACATGCTACAACACACGCTGGATCCGTTTCTCGACATGACGTATAGCAGTTTACCAGTGCTTTCTCTTGTTTTTTAGGTAAGCCCGACTCATGCCAATATGTACGTTGTCGATGAATCTACACAGTACATCAATTTTTGAGTACGTCTTGATCTAATTTTCATACTTTTGCACATCCATTAATGCTTCCACGTAATTTAGCATTAATCATAATTATTGACCACGTCGTGTGCTAAATATCTGCACATTTTTACAGAAGCTTTCTTAAAAATTAATGCAAAATATGCATAATTAGAGAAACATATCTACATCTGGAATGATGAACTAATTTTTTCTCTGCAGTTTTTATATCTTTTTCGAAAATGCACTTAAACAATAACTCTAATTTTGAAGTCATTTCGAAAATTATGTAAAATAGGTAACAAAATTCTGTCAACTTAAGTTTTTCAATAAAAGTACGCACATGGTTAATGGTGCTTGGTGAAAGATCGGAACAGATATGTAAATAACGCTCGCAGATAATGCGGACTTCCTCATTGTACTGTGCGATGTTTGTCTTTTTGCAGTAATATCTGAGCTTTTCGATTAAATCATAACTTATACTTCTAATTAAGGAGAAAATAAGTTTTGATGAAAAAATAAGTACATGGAAGTTTTAGATTGAAGAATCCTAGATGTAAAAATGGTGCTACATCTTTTGAGACCCATAAACTAAAAACTATCGGCACTTTTGACACAAATCTACTTTACACTTGAAATATCACGCAATATAATCTATGATTTTTCACATCATCTACAAAAAAACCGTTCTCGCATCCTCTTCTGGCAGAAAATTATAGTTTCTGAATGCTATCGAGTACATCATGTTCTAAAAATTTTTACCCTACCTCACAAAAGTTTCACCTGTAATGAGACTGGTACCGTTTACACTCTTCAGCTCTACTAATAATTTGCCGAGTATCCAATTCCAACTCCTTCAATGGAACATCGAATGGTTCGAAGTCCTCAGTAACTACTGAAGTTCAGAATTGTCACACAAATCTTTAACTCTGCATATGTAATCAAGGTCAATTTTCCATCCCATGCAATAAACACAATTTGGAGAAACCTTACTACAAGAGCTCCACTGACAATCCCGAAAGAACTTCAGGTCCAGTTCTTGCTTTTGGAAACATTGCAAAATGAATACCAGAGATTGAAAAATTAAAAACATCGTGGTACTTGGGTGTGGGTTAATGAAATTGCTAACCCACATACAAAGAAATGGTCATACGATGTAAATAAGGTTCTATTTTCTGAAATTCCTCAAGCATTTATTCGAAAAAGATCCTAATTCTTATATACTTCAAACCAGACCTAACATTTTCTAGATCACTAAATCTAACACTACTTATTATTTTAAATTGCTGTTTATTCATTCATAGTGGATCAAAAGTTAAAAAGAACAAAACATGCGGGAACAGACAATTAAAAACAATTTATAAGAACAAGAACCAGATTGCAGAACAACATAAACCTGCAAAAATATCTGCGGGAACAAGAATCATATCCAAAAAGTCAAATGCAAAAAGTAATGAACAAACCAGGTAAAGGCGATTCAACACGTTGGCTTAGCGCTGGAAGTAAGAGCCTGATTAAAACTGATAAAACATAAAGACACATTAGAAGTCAATCAGTGAGATGATAATTTAATCACTGTATATCTGTATCACTATACAAACAATGGATATATCTTCTCATCGACTACTTCGTGAATAACAGATATATAGGGAAGACGCTCCAATTAATCATGAAATTTGAGATGTGCACTAAATAAATAAAAGTCCCCTGATCTGTCTTTCAGTACATGAACAAATTCTTCTTTGTTTCATAACATTAAATATGAGATATGCCCTTAGAGAAATAAAATTTCTTTGATCCCTCTTCCCATACATGTACAAGTCATACTATTTCTAAAACATTAAGCATGAAAAGATTTAATTCAAAAAACTATTATCAAAATTTTGTGACCAACACGCATTTTTTTCACATACTGCACATTTTGAATTAAAAAATTATAAGCTTTTCCTTCTACCATAATCAGAGATACAATGAAGCTGTAAAAACGATATCACGTTTCAAAAGCATTCTTGCTTTTTCAAAGTTTTCTTGCAAATCTGAATTTCCGATCGCTTTCGAAGCACCCACCATTTCTCGTAGCAGTTCCTCTAGACGCCGCATGCAACGAATTATTGATCCTAAAACTTGATAAAAGATTGACTTGTAAAAAAATAGTGAAAACAGTTTTTAGTTATTTCAATGAATTTCTAAGTTATTCGCATATTGAATTAATGGATCACGAAAAAGTTCCATGAGGAATTAAATCAGTCATTCGTACCTTCAAAAACATCGGACTTTTTAAGGATTTCAGCAAAAGATGCACCAGTACACCACGAATAGACCACATCCATTAAATGTGGTTTGAAAGATGCAACGTATTTTTCTTCGTCAATTTCAATTTTCGATTCCTTTGTCACTCGTGCAATACGTCTTGCATATTCCTAAATTAGTAGTACACAGAACGACTTTAAATCAACAAAACTACAAATTGCAGTGAAAAGTAATTAAAATGCATGAGACATAAAAATATCTGATGGCGCTAAAAAGGCATTTCAATAGGAAACGCCAAATCAAAAAAGTAAATGAAAAGAATTTAAATACATTATGTTTGCCAAATATTAAGACAATGCGAGTTGAAGTAAATTATGCAAAAAAGTACGAAGAGTAGACCTGCATTGCGCGCAAACACCCACTAAGGTCATCAGCTAATTTGGTTGCATTTGCTTTTTCTTCAAATACAAAACATGAAAGTAATGCAGCTAATTGTGGTGGACTGAGTTCTGTAAAAACCCCACCAAACATCATTTCTGTTAGTAGCAACTCATCTGCAGCACTAATTTCACACGAAACGCGCCCCTAAAATTGCCGACAGACAATACATTAGATATATTCAGCTGGAAGCGAATAAAAGAACAACGGGTATAGTTTAAATTGTTGTGAAATACAGTGGTCAAAGCGTAGCAAAAAAAGAAACCCCAACCAGTTTTGCATCATTTAGCAAATTAACAACCTGGCTAAAAAGGTCTCAAAAACTTGAGAATACCTTATGAGTAATAACATCATTTTGATCACAATATTGTAATCTGCGAAGAACACGCTTCCGGCATTTCAGTTCATCTAACTGCAACAAGCTTTGAGCTTTCTTCAATTCAGTTTTTGCCACCTTTAATTCTGCTTCCAATTCCAGTTTCTTTTCATACTTACTATGGATTTCTTCAAAATCTTTCATGCTCCTAAAATTTTCTTGAAGTGAGAAAAACAAATTGATAATAACAAGAACTAAAAGTTCAAAATACACTTGCCTCAACGGATGATCATTCTTTCTTTTTTCATACGCTTGCAATTTCAAGACCTTGTCCTGTAACACTGGTTCGGATATTTTCATATCATTGAGAGGATCGAGAAGAGGCAAAACTCCATCAAATCTCTTCAAAACTTCCTGGAAAATTAAGCCATAAGCAAGTCAATCACAAAATTAATAACCAGACATCAATTTATACGCAAAAAATGCATTTTATAAGGATTCATATTTTAAAGAAAACAAACTCACTTTCATAACCATATAAGCACTGTGCCTTCCTTCAGATGTTTTCAAATTTTTCGGAAGTTTAATACGCACTGCGCTTATCTCACATATACAGTTCAGAGCAACAGATACAATCTAAACAAGCATTCTTAAACTTTTTCAATGCTTATAAATGAATCATTTGAAACATTTTTCGCTGATATAAAAAATTGAAATTACGTGCGCAGTTCCTTTGTCATTTGAGCCAGCTGGTCGTAAACACATGACATCTGGCAAATTTTTTACAGATGCTTCTGACACTACCAATAACATATCCAATACGTACGTAATGTTGACGTCAACAGAAGTGCCTTGATCTACCTTTTTGTGGAAATCTAGCAAAGCAGCCCAACCAAAATCTTTGTCGTTTGAAATCACCTATAAAACATGAAAAAACAAATTAAAACCAAAAAAAGGAAAAAAATGTGCTTAAATACAGTGCACCGAAAAAAGTTGGAAAAAAATAACAAACAGCAAAAACAAAAGAAGAAATCTGAAACCAACATGAAGCATCCGTCCAGCTTGCAAAAAAGATACAATATATTTAGGTTTCATGACAATTTCTTTCACATCCTTTTTTAGTGAATCTACTTGCTTTTCCAACTGATAGTAACCGGCAACTTCTGTTTCTTTATCGATTTTGAACGTAGCAAGTTCTTTTTTCTTTTCCTCCACAACTACAAAAATTTGTACATTACCATATACTAACTGTGCATGAACAAGTAATAAAAAATGAAATAAAAGAAACCTTTATAAAGACGAGGTAAAGAATCATAGTTTTGAAACTGATAAAATGAGTTTTCGAGCATAAATTCGGGATTGATCCCTTCAACTCTTAGTAAGTTTAAAACCATATTGTAAGTCAAGCGGAACTGTGAATTAAGCGGATCCGGCGCACCTAAAAAAGCATGATTTTATACGACCGATTTCTGAACTAATTAAACAGACAAAAGTGTCTCAAAATTCTGTGCAACCTTTGATTATTTGCTTAGCGACATCTTCTCCCATCTGCTGATCAACAATAAGAATCACAAGGCCACGATCATCTTTACCTCGACGTCCAGCTCGCCCACTCATTTGAATATATTCGCCTGATGTTATCCATCTAAAAGTATAACTTTGGCAACTATAATATACGTTTAAAATGATTAGAATTCAAAGAAATACTACACTATACTATCTACATAATTAACGAATGACTTGAATTACAAACCTGTAATCTTTTCCATCAAATTTCCTAGCCGATGTAAACAAAACCGTGCGAGCAGGCATATTCAATCCCATCGCAAAAGTTTCAGTAGCAAATAGCGTCTTAAAAAAGCAAATAATGTCTACTTATGAAAATTCCACATTATCAGAAGACTGACATAAAGTTATTTCCTTACTTTTATCAAGCCTTCTCCAAATAAGATTTCGATCACTTCTTTAACAATTGGTAGCAAACCCGAATGATGGACTCCAATACCACGCAATAACAAAGGAAGTACTCGTCCAATTTCAGGCAATTTCCGATCCTGCTCCGATAACAAGCTGATTGCATTAACAAATATCTCCTTGACTTTACACTTGTCGTCTTCTGAATTATTCGCATATATTAAAGGTTATAAAATCCGATTTAACTATTTATGATCTCTTACCACTATTAAAGTCCATATTTATCATCTGCGTTGCATATGATTCACATTCCCTGCGACTGAATGAGAAAATAATAACTGGAATCATATCACGTTCCTTAAGAGTGCGTATTATATTTACAACATGAGGAGCACCTAAAAATATGAATGAAATCCACTTCATTGTTTATAAAGTTCCAAGACTACTTTATAACAAGCCTTTATGTTGGAATTTATTTGAAAAAAGAGAAATTACAAAGGTTTAAAATCTCTGAAAAAATATAGCACCCACGACAACAGCATTTATGTATATTAGAAAAGACTTAGATCTCTGAAAACAATATTACGTGAAATAATAATAATTAACACAATGAATGCAACAAGAAAATAAAGAAACCAATCAACCATGATAAAATGAAGCGAAATTGAACAAGACAAAAACTACATTACCCGACGTTCCACCTCTCCTTCTTCTGTCATTTTTATTTCTTGATGTATCAATGGAGGACGACAATATACTCATAGCTTCATTAAATTTATCCTCTCGAAAAAGTCCCTTAATTATTGTAAGTAAAACCACTAAGCACTGCACCGAAATAACGGCACTACACATACTGAACAACTAACACTACACAGGTTAAAATAAAAAAAATTTGAATAAAACGAGATTAGCATTTTTTTTAAAGGAATAATTACCTGCATATTAACAACTTCATATAAGCCAAAACCACCAGATGGATACACGAAATGTTGCAAAGGTACCGGACGATATTCTGTGTATATAACATGAACAGGCTGCTGATGTAGATAAACTACCCAATCTGCAAAACCAGTGAAAGTGTTGACAAAGAATAACTATACGAAAAAAAAAGATTAATTCATTAAAAAAATAGCCAATCTCATTTATTACACATTAAATCTTCATTAAAAAATATCAATGACCTGCAAACTGCCGTGCATTTGGAATTGTTGCTGACAAAAAAACGTAGTGTACAGTATCAGGAAGCAAAATAATTGTTTCCTCCCAAACAACACCGCGTTCTGAAAAGCAAATGTGATGGCCGATCTAAGAATATCCATGGTATAAAATTCCCTCGCAATTTAATCAAGCTTCAACTTTTGACTTACGATTTCCAACAAATACTTTCAAGCAAAACAGAAGTTGAGATTCTTCTGCACGAAATTTCTAAAACCGCATACCTTTGTCACGCATGTAGTGGATTTCATCAAAAATAACCCAACCAACTTCTCGCATAATTTCTGAACCACGATACAACATTGACCGCAAAATTTCTGTCGTCATTACAATGCAGGAAGCATTAGGATTCAATGTATTATCACCAGTCATCAAACCAACATCCTAAAAATCAACTAATATCAATATGCAATATTTTTAAATCTTGAAAACAAAAAAGAGTACACCATGAACTTACACCAAACTCCTCTTCCAATTCTCGATATTTCTGATTAGATAAAGCTTTAATAGGTGAAGTATATATAACGCGTTGCTTATCTCGAAGAGACATTGCTATTGCATACCTTAATGTATGATTATGTACATTGCGAAATACTGAGAAAGGTAGAAATTGTGCTGCAAAAAGTTAATGCATTCTTTAATTTGATTTTAATAGCATTAAGGATTTTGTGAAAAGAATGAATGAGGTAAGAGCATAGTATTGTCAACATTTTAACAATATGAAGTGATAAAACATCAACTTCAATACTTACAAAGCAACAACAGTTTTTCCAGCAGATGTATGAGCTGACACAAGTACAGAATGACTGTTATCAATGCAGGTAATTGCTTCCTTCTGGAAAGCGTCTAATTGGAATGGATACATCTTGGCTGGAGAAGTTGTTCGCGGAGCTAATGGAATGTAATTCATTTTGGACGGTAGAACAACCTGGAAAATAACTACAGACTCATTTGATTGTACCTAATTTTAAGAAAAGATAAATTCTAGATCACCTCATGCGTGCAGTTCCCCACGGTATCCACAACTTCTATATTGTTTCTCGGATGAGTATCTAAACCAGGTATTTCTTCAGTACTAGCAGAACGTTTCACTTTTTTCATTTGAATATCTGAAAAAGTAAAGTAGTCGTGAGAAGGCACTGTTGCTGATTAAACATAGAGGTTCGGAAATAATTGCTAGTTTGAAAACATACTCCCACTATCGGTATCCATCTCATCTCTGTTCATTTTCTGCATCAGATTGGCATCAATTTCAGTAGCTTTTCCTTGCGCTAGTTGCTGCATAAGTTCATCAGCAATATCTCGAGCTTGATGTGAAGTTCTTTTACTTAATTTTTGCTAAAATTTGTCGGTTTTAAAAATGAGTTAATTATTATCCACATTTTTTAGTACTTTACAAGACTTAAAATACTAAATTGGTAAAGAATTTTAAGTTTAAAATAACATTAATGGAAGTCTTGATATATCGCATGTAACCTCTTTTCTTGATCTTGAATCTGGCTTGCTACCACTAGCACTCGATCCCTGTACATGCTGTCGCTGAATGCCCGAAGATGAAGGTTCATCAAATGCATCGAACAAGTCCATATCGTCCTCCATTACTGATCTTGTTATGTTCTAGGTTTCACGAAATTTACTGCAAACATTTTTCCAATACACTTTATTACGAATAACCTTTAGCGTAAGAACCTTTACTACACTAACATGAATTTCCCTACCAGATCTCCATCAACCCCAGACTAACTGACCACTCCATGCTCAGACACAAACACAGACACAGACACAAACGACCGTTCCTGACCCAATTTCGAAAATAACTCCGTCCCACCACTGGCCATTACGAAATATCGAAAGGCATAATAGGATTATGAAATACGGAAGGGTGTTTCGGTATTTCATAATGGAACGATTTGAGTCGGAATACACACTTTTGATAGAAGCAGTATGAAAATTTTCCGGACCAGGAATATAAATCTTTTAATTTATTTCTAGCCTAAATTTATTTGCTGTGAATGAAAGCAGTATTACACTTTTATGAAGGATTTGAAATGATTATTGGCAATCAGAATTATGAATAACAAAATTATCTACAAAACCTCAGTTTTTTTAATCTATCATAAATTGACAGTAATGCATAAGCATAAATCTTCTCCAAGTTTATTTATCTATGCTTTGAATTAAAACACATGTACTGATTATTTTTAATTAGTGTAATTGTAAATAAAATACAGTCTAGAGCGGTTTTGAATAAAGAAATAACTACTTATATTGATTGCTTAAAATCGCATTTTATCTTGATTTGGTAATTTTCCCGCAATTTTGAGTAGTGAACAATTGTGAGTGCTAAACACTTACAATAAGATTGAATACTTCTGTGCATTTTTTTTCAATGTGTTGCAATGGTAATGGTTGAAAAGGATAGCATAGATAATATAATCATCGAAATAGTACTATAAATTACTTTTTATCCATTTTTAATGGCAAAATTTCAAATTATTTTGTTGGTGTGAAATTGTTGACAATATAGAATAATTACATCAGTAACACTTTATTAGTCAGAAGATACGCTTTAGGGACTGAATCGGTTTATACTCTGTCCTGTAGCATATTATTTTTTAGTCAAATATTTTGCCTTGTTAAGCTCAAACTTTTTTATTATACAAAAAAAATATTTCAACCTAGTATAGTAAATTTTGTTTCAAATATTGTCATTTTAAAAACTCAAGAACTCATTTCTGAAGTGAAGGATACTCAAACTACGGTTTGGAGAATGATCAGTGATCCATGAGTGTATGTCAACAATTCGTTGGTACATTCTATGGTTTCGCAAACTACATTTTCTGAATTAAATGCCAATATCATTGCATTCAAATTCTTTTGGATCCGCTGTTGGTGGACAGTCATATAATTTCCGATCTTTAGTATCCTTGATAGCCGTTGTTCCATTATTAAGTGCCGCAGGCGCTGTTGTCGTCGTTGTCGTTGTTGTAGTTTGCGATGTTGACTGAAAAGAAGAAATGTTAACAAAGGTTCCTACACTTTTTCTGAAACCGCACAACCTGTTCTCTACTACTACTGTAATCACTAAGTATGAGTATGCATCTGTCAGTGGTAATGATTGTTGACAATAATTGTAACTTTTTTAATGTTTAATGTCATTATCTTACCATCTTTTTTCCATCAACATATTATTGTTTACTTTTTTACTGCTTGTAATGTTCATAATTGATAGCTTAAAACTTTGTAACACAGTCCGTTGCTAAATAAAAACAAAAAGTTCTGTTTTTAACAATGACTCATTAAGTTGAGATGAAAGTTCTACCCTGACACTAAGTTCAGCTTCCCAGTCATATGGATCAGAAAATGAAACATGGAGTCGTTTCATACAAACTATGAATAGATCGTAAATCCTTTTGTAATCAGGTCGTGATTCGTAAGTGAGTGTTCTTATATATTTCATGATAAGAACCCATTCCGGTGGGCAGTCTGCCATGAGAACCTCATCAGTTACTTTATCCTTCATAACACCTACTTCTTTTTCCTAAAAGTTTGCTTTTTTAATTTTTTTTAAGCATAATTTTAAGAAAGTAATGTTGCATTGTAGGATATGGTGGTTTTCTTCTTTAATTTTAAAATTTAAGATTTGAAGAATGGAGAAGTTTGGTAAGAGAAAGACATACAGTGATACCACGCCACGGCAGTCCTGCATGTAGTTCTACGAGAACATATATTAATGACCACAGGTCATCTTTTCTCCCTTGTTCCATTCTGGAGTGAACAGTCGGTGAGCAATATCTGAAAAATTAAATTATTCTAATTACATGCAGTCATGATTCTGTGTGAGAACTTTTTTTCTCCAGTATCAAAAAGTAGATCGATCATTTCAGTTGAACTAAAGTTAAATTATAATGAGTTAGTTTGTATCATTTTGGTCTAAAATTGATGTTAATTATTTTCATTCTAAACAATGAATGAAGCTGAAATGTGATGTTATACCTTGTTGTTCCTCTCATTAATACATGATCTCGTTTCCGTCGAATTCTTACATAGCCTTGATCCCAAACTGCATATTCACGTGCCATTCCATAATCAATCACGTAAATTATTCGAGCTTCTGGACCTTTCCGTCCAATTACCATGTTTGCTATTAAATTCATTTTATATTCCAAATATCCATGAGAAAAAAGACTTATTACTGCTTAGAAAAACTTTCCTTAAATAACTCTCTAATGTATCACACTGATTCGAAGCATATTTTTGGCTACATTTTTCGGTGTTATTGAAACAAAAAATTAATTAACCTGGTTTAATATCACGGTGTACATAACCAATCTCATGCAATTGCTTGATCGCATAAAGCGCGTGAATTCCAACTCGATCTGCTGTGCCTGCCGTGAAAGTATTTGTTTTGCATCTTTTCTTTAACTGCATCAAATTTGGTCCCAACAGCGACATCACAACATATGAATACTATAATAATCAGTAATATTTTGGCTCCAAGCACTATAACAATGACTTAGTTACAAAACTTTGGTGCATAATGAACCGATGTCAGGTATCCTAACTGGGTACCGTAATCTGTAATGTGAAGTATCTGACTTCTAAAGTGATTATATCATGTCTCTAGTAATTTATTCTATACATCAATGAAGGAAATATATAAAGCAGTATTCGTAAGAACAAAACGTTTCATCAAGATATCTTTCCCTTGCATACATGCAATATTATATTGAATCACACGTTTTCTGCAAAAGAAAGGGGAACTTATTTTGTTTATAGAGATGGTAGTTAAAGCATGGTGAACTTTAAATAGTTGTAATTTGATAAATTTAAGTAGTTAGTTATACAAAATATCCTGTCATTACCTATGCAAAATATCTTACCATTACTTATGCAAAATACCTTATCATTCAACGCTTTGCAGATGTAAATTAACAGTAACAAATACATACATATTCTCGACGAGCAGCATATACTACTCGAACAGTGTGTCTTCTTGATTGCAGTTTTCTCATCACAGCTACTTCTTTCTTTAAAACACCGAAGTCATCTTCAGAACGTGCCTCAACCTATAATACAATTTATTTCTTTCATCGAAATAAGCTTCATAATTATGCTGTCATAATTCTCAACATTATTAAACTTGATAAATTTTTTTTTCGAACAATTTTTTATCTACAATGCAAATCATAAACTACTGAAAAGGAATAATATGGTGCACGTGATACACTACTACTACTCATGCTTAGGTATAAAGTTTGCACAAGTTGCATGTGCCATGACCTCTATGTAAGTTATGGAAATGTTATGAATTGCAAATATGTTATTGTTTACCTAATACTTTATAAGTATTCAAATTATGACAAAAGTAAGTTTAAATTCAATAGAATTTAAGGTTATGCTTATCATCCAACATTCCTTTGCAACTTAATTATTTACGCAATAAGATAAGTGAGTAATAAAAGTCAAATTAAGACTGTAACAATTTCCAGTGCAGTAAATAACTGATTTAGAGTATTGGAATAGCATACTTTGAGAGCAGCTTTAACTCGTGTGTCGTTCAAATCGTGAACTTTGTAAACAGTAGCACATGAACCTTCACCAAGCTTTTCATCTACAACCCAACGTTTATTGACTACTTTACCTTCACAGAGATCAATAAGATCCATTTAACTAGTAAACATCCACATATGTGCCTTAACGTTAAGTAATAAAAGCAAATCTTCGCACAAGAAATGCCTTATTTACCAACCCTGCACTCTTACAAATGATAAAATACTGTATTGTAAAATATTTCTTAGTAGATATACAAAGTTTTCTTGCATACCAAATATAAATTGAAATTATTTGCTTGATGCTTGATTTTCTCAATGTAATTTCCACATATCAAGTTTTATGCAAATTTTGCTTACATAAAATCGCATATTAATTTACTGATTTATAAAATAATTCTTCATAAGCCATTTACGCAAGTCCCAGTAAAGTTAGTCCTATATTTGTACTTCAGAACTGCAGATAACTTCAACGAAACAAGATATCGGTTGAGCATAAGTTGAAAAATGGGAATAGCATCAATTTTTTGATTTTGAAAATCAAAACATGTAATGAATTTTGTAGCCAGAATAATTTTACCCTAATCCTTTATTTAGCTCATTCAGTGAAATAAAAAATAAAAAACTACTACTGATTACTGTTATTATTATTTCACAGATATTTAAATATGCAAGCAAATACATAACAGCAAATTATTTTTATTACAAAATCGTCATATATGTTTATAATTTAGAGAATGCCGATCACTGCTGTCCATGCTCGATATATCTACGATTCTCGTGGTAACCCAACAGTCGAAGTTGACCTTACTACAGAGAAAGGTATTATTATTGTCAACATAATCTGAGCTTATCTTTTTATGCTGTACTGCTATTTATAGTTTACAAGTAACACAAAACAGGAATGTTTCGAGCAGCTGTACCAAGTGGGTGCATCGACAGGTGTGCATGAAGCACTCGAACTTCGGGATAAAGATAAAGCTGTACATCATGGAAAAGGTGTTTTGAAAGCGGTCAAAAATGTCAATGAAATTATCGCTCCTGTATTGGTTGCCAAAGTAAACTATATTTATTCTAAAATCCCATAAATAAATGTATTCAAATACCAACACTTCATCTTGAAGTTATGCTAAAAAACTGATCATCATCATTAAATTAAAGTGTAATCTATAAAATAGTGAGACTGTTAACTCTTAGAAACTGGAACCCACACAGCAAAAAGAAATTGATAAGTTTCTACTGCAGTTTGACGGAACCGAAAATAAATGTCTGCTTTTGCTTATCAATTAGACTTGATACCAAATGTGATTGTGATAGAAAAAATACGTAGCTTCATAATTTTTTTTTATCATTAAAATTTAATGCAGATTTGGTAGCTGAAAAATAATCCCTTATTTTTACTTCACTTCAAATTACATGATAAGTTTCTGAAAATGAAATAAAATGAAAGATTTCTTGCAGCGAAATTTGGAGCAAATGCAATTTTGGGTATATCACTAGCAGTATGTAAGGCTGGTGCTGCTCACAGAGATGTACCTCTATATAAATATATAGCAGCACTAGCAGGTATTGAAAAAGTCTTCTTACCAGTCCCTGCCATGAATGTCATCAACGGTGGATCCCATGCCGGTAACAAACTAGCTATGCAGGTTTGCCTTTAATGTTACTGTAAAGTGCACCATGCACTGCATGAAATTTTAGTTTTGGGTGAATTTTCAGAAATACATAGTCTATTATAATTATTTCCAGGAATTTATGATCATGCCTACTGGTGCATCATCTTTTACGGAAGCTATGCGTATGGGACCTGAAACTTACCATCATTTACGAGTATACCTTGCGATTTTTCCAGTCACTTCTTTTTTTTATAAATGTAATCTTGCTGTATTACATTGAATACTACAGGCTGAAATCAAAAAACGATATGGCTTAGATGCAACCGCTGTAGGGGATGAAGGTGGCTTTGCTCCAAATATTCAAGACAATAAAGAAGGTCTTGATTTACTGAAAACAGCCATTGATAATGCTGGCTACACAGGAAAAATTTCCATAGCCATGGACTGTGCAGGTTCCGAATACTACAAAGTATAAGTTTACCTAAAGAGGAATATCTAAACTCTCCCATACCAAATTATCAAGTTTTTATTTTTGGTCAAGCGTATCTGTTTCCATGACATTAAATTCAAATATTATAAATTAGGTCTCCAAAATTTCTGCGCAAAGTTGAAGCACCACAACGATAGAGCTGGTAATCATAAATCATCGATGATACAGCAGAAAATTTCGTTTACTTCATTATCATTATTGATGATAATGCCTACAGGAATACCGAATAGATTCAATAGAAGATTGGTTTGACCAAGATGACTGGGATAGCTGGACGAAAGCCTTAACCATCGTAAATATTCAAATTGTCGGTGATGACCTGACAGTTATTAATCCGAAACGAATTCAAACAGCAGTGAACAAGAAAGCTTGCAACTGCCTATTGCTTGAAGTTGTCATACCCAACTTTATCTCGTGACACCTGATATATGAGCCTAGCTTCATCATACGTAAGTAAAATTATTCAGATAAACCAAATTGGCACAGTAACTGAGTCAATCGAGGCAGCGAAATTAGCTCGAAAGAATGGATGGGGAGTGATGGTTTCTCATCTTTCCGGAGAAACCGAAGACACATTCATTGCTGAAATTGCTGTTGGCCTTGCTACAGGACAAGTATGATCGTTACTTTTTCTATCCCTCTCATTCAAATACCTGAACCAGTTTAGGTAATTCAAATAGTGTTTTGGGAGGTAGCTTTCCTACAAAGAATAGTGTTTATACGAGCAGTTTATTGAAAGTTGGCCATTCCCAAAGCTTTGTTAAAAAAAATTAAAGATTAAAACTGGAGCACCCTGTCGATCAGAACGACTTGCCAAATACAATCGAATTCTACGTATAGAAGAAGAACTCGGAAAATACGCTATTTACGCTGGAACGGAATTTCGAAACCAACAAGCATAAAAGTAGTGATCAGTATTATTTTATCACATAATTTGTATTACTCGGACCTGTGGAAAATTTTATATGTTACCTTGAATAAAAATGACTATTTTGCTCAGTTCTGTAAATATACAGATCAGCTGCACAAAAAATGCAATCATCAGTAATAACATTCGACTCTACACCAGACATGAACAATGCAATTTAGAGAGCTTTACAAATAAGAATACATATAATATCAAAGTTAACTAAAGTTACATCCTGTTGGATATAAAGTGCAGGATATAAATTGAATATTTTCGCAAATATGTAATTACAAGAAATTGAAGTAAAAATTATAGCGATTCAAATAAGATAAGGAATAAAAGTAATCGAACAAGAGTACAAATTTATAAACATCTTGGATGCGTGGTTTATCTTCGAATATTGGTAGAAAATATTTTCAAACCAAAATCACTACGAAATATACAAGTTTTATAATGCCATTATGATTTTTATAACAATTTGTTCACAAAAATAACGTGTGTTGAAAATTTTTATTATCTACACGAAAATGGAGCAATAATAAAGTATACCATACTAATATACCATTCAAATTTCATCCATCATTCGTAACATATTGCTTTTAAACTTCAAAACTTTCTGTAGTTCTTTGTTTAGACATTCAATTTCTTTCACTTTCTCATCCACCTGTAACGGTTTTATCAAAAACTTCATGGAATAAAAATTAATTTCAAGAATTATGAGAAGGATACATTTTTAATGTGAATATAAACAAATGGATATAAACTACAAATTAAAAAAATTACCAAATCTTGTAGATGCTTTATCTCCGAATTTTTACTATTCCTGATATCCATCATTTCTTTCTCAAGACGTTTTAAGTTCTCACAAACTTCTGCAAAGATAGCATATTTAAGATTTTATATTAAAAACGAACACTTTTATAAAAAGAAAACAAACGAGGAGGAAAAAAACAAAATCTACTATACTTTACTGCATCGAAATATACGACATAGAAGAAATCTCCTCATGAAATATTTGAATAAATTAAACAGCAGTTAAATTTTCGGATGATCAATAAAATGCACAGAGAACATAATGATGCAAGTTTCTTATGTAAGAAATCAATCAAACCAATATTTTCAGATTTCTTAATCATAAGATCGTGTTCCATGTTTTTGTGTTCATTCATAAGTTGAGCGCATTGTTTATCTTTCTCAATCAATGCATTTGATGTTCTGAATAATCATTTTTAGCATGAATTTGTATATAAAATATCTGGAATAAGACAGAAATGACCAAAAAATACTTATTTAAATTATCTCTTACTTACAAAGCAAAGTTCTTTCTGAGTTCGTCATAACGACTCTTCATTAATGTAGCAAGTTCTCTTTCACTGTTGTTTTCTTCTTGCAGTACATTTTTTTCCTGGGCTACTTTCTTTAATCTGAAAGCATACTGTAATGCAAATAAACCACAAGAACCAAATAATTTTTCAGTCTTATAATCGTAATTAGCTCATCAACAATAGTGGTATTGCCATAAAATCGTAAAAAGAACCAGAGAAAAATCACATATAATTTGATTCTGCAATTTCTTGAAAAATAGTGTCTTAAAGTGACAGCAATGTTTTTGGTGACAAAGGCAATATATAAACCATTGAAGTACTGAATAAATACGAATCATACTCATCAGTAAGTGAAAGCACTTCTTCTTCTTTTTTTTCCACAGTCTTCTTATAACTCTCACAAATTTCTTCCACGTTTTGCTTTTCAGTACGAAGAGAAATCAAAAGCTTGTCCAAATCTTCAATTTTTTTCTTAGAAACAACAATCGCATCTCGAAGACTCGCTATCTAAAAGTTATATGCACAGTTAAAAATCAAGAATCTTTTCCTAGCATCATTGGACAATTTCTATAAATTCACCTCATTTTCATTCTCTTGATTATTACGATTTCGAAGGAGTTCACTTTCGCGCAAGGCTTCTTCCTTTTTCGCCAGCAAATCTTCCAGTTCACGCTCTCGATTCTAAGATATGAAACTATTTACAATGCATTCGTCGAAATAAAAGTAAAAACGAAAACTTGAATTCGCAAACAGAAGAATGAAATGTCGATGAAAAAATCATGACTAGTATGCATTCAATATTTTGGCTTACAGAAATTTTCAAGTGAGAAAAATTTTAGTGTTTTTCACTCCTAACAACTTAAATGATACTTCAACTCGAATAAAATTAGTAAAAGCACTTAAAAATACAAGCAAACACTTAGAATTCACTGCGACAAAAAAGTTGTTCTATCTTAATGAAAACTCACTTTCATGTTTTGTATTTTCTTCTCATTTATACTTAATAAACGTAATGTATCAAAACCTGGTAACTGAAAATCTATAAATGCAAACGCTTCATAATGAAAATAATAAAAATTACAGAATCTTCAGATGAAAAACAACTATTTTGCAATTGCACATTATGAAAATGTAATATAATGTTGTTATGAACGATGTGATCCTTACTTCATTCTTTTGATGTATATTATCTGAAATTTCACTGAACTGTATCACTCTATCATCCTTTGTCGAGAGATCATTCAAAGGTTTTTTATGAACCGTCGAGGTATCGTCGACAGAAATATTTAAACAATATTCTGAACTACCTCTAAATATAATAAATAATAAACTCAATGAAGTCCCTGACTGCAATTTAATTAGGTGCGACAACAGAGTAATAAGTAACAAAAGCATCATGGTAGCAACCAAATAAAATAAGTAATCGTAATTACAAGGTAAAATAATACTTAGGTAAATAATTATCTCTTGAAGCACATACTATACTTTTCTTCTTGCGGCAAGTTGCAACTAAATCTCCGAGCCTGCAATTAGTTAGATTATGAAAGCAACTAAAAGTGAAAATATTCAAAATTTACCATTTTGTCGGAAAAGTATGAAATTGAGAACAATGCACAAATAGCAGCAAAGCCTTATGAGTCAGTTCTGCATTACCATGGGCAATCGCATAAGCAATAAAAGGTATTAGTCGATCATCCTAAAAATATATACTTTTTCAGTGACCATTTTAAACCACAAATGAATCTGAAATCATCATTCAGTTATTTACCTTCAACACTTTCAGGTACAAATCTTTGTGTGATTTAGAATAGTCTTTTAATGAAATTAAAATCCTCATCAGCTCCAAGACGATAGCGACACCATCATTGCTGTAAATGTGGACATGAACTACACACACAGAAATAATAAAAGAGATAGAACTTAATAACATAATTTAGCAATGAATTATAAAAATGGCGCAAAAAGTTACTTAGAACCAAATACAAAATTGAGCAACTTACCACCATTCAGGAAGAGGTTCGGTACGCAATGATTCCGGCTGTCTTATGTATGTTATGACAGGATTTGAAATGATCTGTGATTCAATTATATGAGAACAAAGCGCAGCATTAACAACTTCTAACAAACAAACCCTTATATCTTCATCAGTTGAAACTACTGAAAAAAAAAAAATCCACTGCACTTGTATGTCTCATCGAACAATTTTGCTCAATATAGATGATGATTCTACTTTTATTCACCTAACTACATAACAGATTTTAACTGCTACTCAATATAGTTATATTTCTATTACATAAAAGAGTGTCAATTACTTTCAGCAAGCCGCAACCCCTCAGTTATTCTTTGGCACTGAAATTTCACGCTATCACTGACTGTTTCAATAGCAGTCTTCACATTATTTTCAACAAGTTGCAAAATGTGAGCAATGGGCACAACGTCTTCGACACGACCGGTACTTTCAACCAACTCCTGTGTAAAAAATTTCTGCATCGATTAAACAACAAGCACTAGCTACCGAAATTTTTTTTTTTCAAAAAGAAAAGAATAAAGTCAAAAATTACAAAAATATTTCACTTGCTAACATATTTTGCAATTTTTGTTGCATGAAAGCAGCTATCTTCATGACTAACTCAAAAACATGGCTCCATTAACCTTTTCAATAAGCTGAAAAGTAAGTAAGAAACGAGTGGGTAAATCATGAGTTTGGAAATTATATTTCATCATTTCTTATAACGAGTCTGCTGATATCAAGAGCAGAATACATGATGTTGAGCAGTGAAATACAGCGTATATGATGTTTATTTTTACCTGCAGTAGACAAATCAGTAAACGTATAGCTTTAAGAGGAACTTCGGGCTCAATGGCTTCATCGAAAGACAAACCCGCCGTATCACAAATGGCTAGAAGTGGTGTAGCTGGTTTTTCTTCATTTGAATGACAATGTAGAATTGCATGCGCAACTGCTGATCGTAACTGAGGGACTGAACAAAGTGCCAAAAACAGATCGTACACCTGAAAGAAAAATAATGCAACACAACACTTTTTTGATAAAAGAATAATAAAGAGAAAACAAAGTTGCGCTTTAGATTTAGAATGAGTTCAGACCTACTTTAAATGATTCTTCTGTTCGAGGATCAATTTGAATAAGAAGAGTTGCAACAAGTTGAATGGTCTTTTCAAAATATGAATAGGAAGCGAGGTCTTTACCCGTAGACGTAAGTGTTAAAGATGATGACACCTATAAAGATCACCTTAAATTTAATTTTCCAGTGAAACATGAAAAACCCATTTGTAATGGAAATTTGATAACTGTTTGTTAGAGGTGGTCATATAGTGAAAATGGACGAAAAAAGCAAATTTTGTGAAAACTATAAAAATGCAATAAATCAGTATCTCAAAACCTACACTAGAGGATTCACAAAAGACTAAGCGTTTTAAAAGGTCGACAGCAATACAACGTGTCATCAAATGGTCTCCCAAAATTAAAACATTGAAAACACATTGGAATGTTTGAGGAATATTTCGAGCACAAAATATCTGCAACTGCTATTTGTATCCTGCCATTTTTTTAATAATTCCCATAAACAATGCATATTAAATAAGTTTGAATATTTGAAATGTCATTTTATTTACAGTGAGTATTACATATTCAAAGTTTAAAGAATTCTTTACTACAATTATATACAGCTAGTTTAAAATTGATTAATTCTTCAAAGCTAGTCATTATACGCGATTGTATGTTTGTACATTAGAAATGAAGATATATCGATGCTGAAAAAAATCATCCTAAAACTAAAACTACTACAACATAACATTACCGTATCACGCAGTTTTTCTTCTAAAAATCCAACAAGAACAAGACATGCAATCACCACGGTTCGAGAATCATGAGCCAACAACTGTAGCAGTTTGCGACTGAAGGCCTTATAGGATGACTGTAATCAATACAATAAAAGTGTAAAATAGCATCTACGAAATCACTGTGATACCATGAAAATTAATGACTAATAATACTACGAGTGTGACCATAATTGCCACATATCCAGTCTTGAAAAACGTGGACAAATAAACTCACTGATCTTCCTATTCTTAAGCAAACTGATTTTGATCGAGCTGCAAGATTACAAAGTATCGCCATACAGTAAGGAAGCCACTGTGGTTCATCATCACAAATACTAGAATAAACAAAAATTTAGCAGCCAAACGAAGAAATGACGCGTCAAATTGAAATTTTCACACAAATTTTTTGTAACATTTTCATTAGCTTAATATTTTTCCACTACTTCTTATATAAATAACAAAACATAAAGCTTACATTTCACTCAAAAGGAATGATATAAGACTATTTGTCCAAACTCCTAATACTGCACTTCGCTCGTATGTGAGTACCTGAATAAATTTACATATAAATTAATGTGTCATGCGGTTTTTCTTCAAAAATCCGACAAGCACAAGACATGCAATCACCACAGTTCGAGAATCATGAGCTAACAACTCATGATTTCTAAGCCCATAATCTAGTAAATGCTAATAAGAAATACCTGAAGCAACCGCAACACATCAACAAGATTTTGTGGACCAAGTTGCTCTTGTAAAGATAACTTCAAGCATTCAAAAACTGATTCACAAATTTGCAAATCTGCAGCCAAATATTTCCTGAGTGAAACATTATGAAAGGCTGAAAATACACTGCTTCATATACAGTTTTAAAAACTTTCTTACAACATTATATCTGCTATTACATGGGACTATATGAACTTTATTTTTGTACTGCTTACTCTTACAGCCTGCATCAAACCTTTTCCAGTACACCACAGAAAAGCAAGAATTCAAAATTGCTCCTAATAAAAAGTGCAGCTTTTAACACAAAGCAAACAAATCAGAAATCATTAAATGTGCACAAGACAAAGAAACAACTGTTCTTAAAATATGACTAACCAATGTTAAACAAAAAAAGATGTAAACGTGAACGACTAATTGCCCAAGAGGGATTTTCATTTAACAATAATGAACAGTAATGAAGCAGTTCACATAGATGCAAATTTTTTATGCTTAATCTGGCAGATGGATCAACAGTAGCTGTAAACTGTATCAGATCCTGCAATACTAGATAAATTACTTTGATATATTTAAACATGCAACGCAATTATCTATATTCAGACTAAGGAACGACTAATACATTAAAAGAATAATAATAAATATTATCACCATTTAGTCAAGTTCACATGAATAAAATAAAATGGAAACGAATTATATAAACAAACGTTTTCAAGAAGTGAATGGCTAGAAAAACTTTACTCTCATAATTAAAAAATTTGATATATAAGATCGTTTACAAAAACAACTCTTACCTTTAAATGATGATTTAATAAACGTTCATTATCCTCACTTCTGTCACTACAGAATCTATGAGCAGCAGATGCAGCAGCAGTAATACATCCCTTCAAACCATCACTCATCTATGTTTGGTTTCTATCACAACCTACTTGATATCAAAAACCCTTCAAATCATTTTTGCAATAAACAATATGGAAAGACTAGAATGTACGATTACGAACATATAAGAATTATATATGTAGAAATTAATGACAAATTTTCAGAAATGAATTTATCACAATACCGAAAATGATTTTTACTTTACTTTTTTTCAGGATGAAATCTGCTGACATTTACAGAATGACAATTAAATCTTAAATAATTGGCCTTGGCTTTTATGAAAAATCCAATTAGTGTCATACTCACATACATACACTATCAAATACACATATTACATAGATATTGGTGCAAATCGATTGTCAATTCTTCTTAGCAACGTGACATTTCGACGGAGTGAAATATTGTAGTGTACACTTTTTAGCAATTAGCATGAGTTAAACAAATTTCTACAGACAGCATGAATTTTAAAATTTTAACTTGTAAACAGATTTGGCAAACACACTACAATAATCACGGACGATTTCGTTTTATAATTATAATAAATTAGCTCTGTCAATTTACTATCACGTCAAACAATTTAATGATTCATTCCCGAACAACATTCTCAAGTATTATTCAAATAATAATTACTTATTGTCACTTTACATTTCATACATTTCATTTTCAGAGGAGTGCACTTTCATTCAACGAACATGCAACTTCTATGTCAGGAAAAAATCAAATAGCTGCTATACAATCAACACAATTCTCATGAATGCAAAACTCTGTTAAATCCGGAACAGCTCTTCCATAGCTAACACTAAAGGATGTCAGTAACACGCAGGACAGATATTAAAGATGAATTTAAAAAGAAGAAGAAAGTTACACTCGGAATTCAATCTCTTACGTTAGCAAATAAGTACGGACATATTCTTCATATTAAAAAAATTAGGTACCAGTTAATGACTACTTAATGCTCGGTAGAAAAAGATACATTTACTGTACACATATGAGAAAAAACGAATAGCAAATGCCACAGTTTCACCCTTTTATTCATTTAATCAAACTTTAGCTCCATACTGTAAAGACATTAGTTTTCAAACATCCCTTTGCAAATGACTATTTTGTAATGAACAAACAAATATACTGTAAAACTATCTAAGAATTCTGAACTGATCTGAAAAAATTAACGAATGTTTCGTGAGTATATAAAATCTTCTAAAATTTCAGATTTATTCCTAAAGAGTACTGTTTCGGTGTGTACCAGGAAAAAAACTAACTAAATCTTAAGACAGTAATGTAATCGAAATGCTTTTAAATTAGAAATATTACAGAATCATTAAAAAGTTACGCACACTTTTCAAAGTCATATTGATAATAAATATAATAACAAAATTTATATTATCGTTATCATTAGTCAAATAATAATTATTAAAAAATATAAAGATTTATAAAATAAGCATGTACCACCAAATCAAAGGTAATTTTGGATATTGCAGAAAACATCTCATTTTATAAATTTAAGGACAGAATTATTTTTTCCAAAGGAACTTGGTTTCGTTCGTGATTCGCTATTATTTTCCAGCTGAAATAATATCAAATTTTTTGCTTTTGAAGATTCATGTTGACTCGTTTCTATAGATGGAGTTAATGGAGTTCTTTTATTTCGAACAAAAATTAAGAACTTTTAAAATGCAAACGACTTCAAATCAAAATACCTTAATTACTGGATCCAAATAATTGAAAATTGTGACAAGTATCATGTTTAGTAAAACAGCACATATATACAGCATACCTAATCCAATTCCACAATGATAATACCTAGAAGAAGTCCTTTTGAATGAATTTAAAATTACATTTCAAACGTTAAAAAACATGAAAATAAGACATATTTCAGTTTTCAGAACATTTCGTTTAAGCAACGCAATACAGATCCATACCTTGAAAGTCTTTCAAACCAGGATATTTGTGGGCATTGCAACGCGGAACAATAAACTTTTTCAGTCCGTTTTGCAATGTCTGGCCAACAGTACATTTGACAAATCATGTTGTGCTTAACTTCCGGTGTCATTAATTGACCATTTTCACGCAGTCGAATCACTTCCAACAAAGCATCACTTAGATCTATTATTTGACAAGCAAATTATTTAGACTTGTCTAAATACAAAATGAGAAAATTTTTATTTCTTCAATTGATTAAGGGTTTCAAGGCTTGCTCTAATAAATAATCAAAAATACGAAACTCATTAACTACAAGACTCCCTAAAATTCAAAAAAACATGTAACCAAACGTACTTTCTGGCTCTGGTTCTTCTAGCGAAATAAATTGCTTCGGTAAGACTTCTGGAATCCCACCAACTTTGGTTGATACAACGTGTAGACTGAAATCTGCCAAGAATATCAATAAATTACATTGAAAGAAAAAAACTGAAAATGAAATATCATTAAAAAAAGTCTCACCCACAAGAAGCAGCTTCAACAATGCTCATACAAAAAGCTTCAGTAAGCGAAGTGTTCAAAAATATCTGACCTTGCACAAGGACATCACGCACCTATATTTATTCCAAATTAAATAAAAACCAAGTCCTGAATAAAACTTACATAATTACGATAAAAAACAATATTCAACTCTACAAGCCAAACAGTGCAATGTGGAATCCATAGATTCAAATATATATTTATTTGTAATGAAATTTAAATGAATTGAGCCCACCAAAAGTGAACTCTGAAAGTACTTTGATTACTCCCAACCTGATCATGAGGGAGGGAGCCGAGCATTATGACACGATCTTGCAAACGATGTTGTTCACGCATTTCTTCCACTTCAACTCGTTTTGGCCCATCACCTCCGATAATGAATCGTACTGACTTGTGACGTGAACAAACACGAGGTATAATTCTTACAAGGATATCTGCTCCCTCAAAAACCGATATATCATTTCAAAAAGATTGCAATCAATATACAATATTATCATAATGAAAATTGAACATTTAGTAATGTGACCCATAGACAAGAAAGCAAAATTAGATATCAACAGAAGCAAAAGTTTCTTCATCACACCAAATTAACGATTTAAAATGTTTCAGATGACGAAACTTAACAGAGTTATTAAATACTTTAGACAAGGAAATTTTACTTTACGATATACGAGTCTTGAAAGAACGATTACTGTTGTTGGATTATTGTAAAATAAAAATGGATCAGGAACAAATAAATCTGTATCAATTGCATTTGGAATGACAGCAACTTTGTTTGCGGGCACACCACTTCTTAATACCGTATTTTCCTTGCTATAACAACCGAGTGAAAAATTACTAAAATTACTTCTATTATTTGAAAGATGAATCATGTTTACAAAATAAAAGACAGAACTAAGTAGAATTAGTATTTTAGATAAGAGGTTGGGTGAAACCAGGAATTTTATATCAGCTTTAAAATCCCATGTACTAATTTTAATTTCAATTATAGATGCACAGAGCTTAAAAAGAACGTAAGTTTTATGTTACAACTGACACATCACCTCGTATAAGAAACACAAATAATTCTATCTACATTTGCCAGTGAATACTGTAACACTAATTTATTCATGAGAATTGCAGATGCATCAGCAAAACCAAACAAAGAATGATCGGTAAACGTAGTTCGCAAACCCAAACACCATGCATGAATCATTGCTTCGTGTGCCATTGCAGAGAAAGTCTAGAACAAAAATAACTATGATAATGTTTCAGATTGATTGATGATGAAAGTTCATTGTATACAACTTAAAATGATAAATAATATATTTACAGAATGCCCATGTACTATCTGTATTTGCTCTTCCAAATAAATTCTTCGAAACCAATACAATGAACCAATAATTGAAGGAAGACAACTGCCATTATATATGACAATAAATGGTAAGTAGTAGACCTGGAAAAACATACATAAGAATAATAGTTAATTTAATTAATTAGAAGATATGCAATATGCATAAGACATTACTTTAAGACCATTTGACAGATATCGAACACCCCGTCGTTGGCCATATGCATGGGTTATAACAATAACTTTATGACCCAATTGTAATAAAAATTTTGCTAAGAAATATATATGCGTTTCAACACCACCTGCATTAGGACAGAAGAAGTCCGAAACCAATCTACAATATTAGAAAGCGTTGAAAAAATGTATTTCAGCATACAAATTTACCACAAACTCATCGCAAGTTGTCACACTTGAATTGCTTGACTGACCAAGTAAAACTTCTGCTTCTTGAAACTTACGCAATACGGAATGGACCCCATTTGTCATCGCAGAATTCCATTACCATGATACAAACCTTCCAGAAATCCCCAATATCTATGATTAATTGTTCTGACTGAACTGATAAAGCTCTACTAGGAACTGCTAAGATTTCTCATGAACAATCACAGCATTTTAGTAGGAATCGTATAAATAATGTCCATTTAAAACTTCAAAAGTCTGCACGAATCTGCAACTAATAGATTTTCAGCATAACTAGTTATGCCTAATCCACCGATTACTAGAACTTAGGTATAAGAGTATATAAGCCACCATGTAAGGAAAATAAGACAAACTGATGGCAAATAAGTGTAACGAATTCCATTTATGGCACTCGGAAAGGCTGACGAAATAACTATCAAGAACTATCAAATTGAATTACATCTATGACAGTGCTTTCAATATGATTGAACCTTTTAATTCATTTAATTGTTAAACGGGTACCAAAAAACAAATACAGTAAAATATCACAGCTTTAATTTGAACTAAAAAGAATATTATATAAGTAGTAACAATAAAAAAGCTGACAACAAAAATTAAATCTTATAACAACAGCCCTCTAATATGCTTCACAAGAAAACAAATATATTTCACTATCTCAGAAGTTTCAGCATACAAACAACACAGTCAAACAACTAGAATAAATTACATCAACATAAAAACCAATTAAAAAAATCAAAATTAACCAAATACTTGTCATAATAACTGTAGTTCTAAAAATTCGAACTTATCAAACAAGAAAAGATAAAAATTATCTCGAAAGTATTCAAAACGATAGTTCCCTTTTACAAGAGATCACAACGGCAGTTTTGGATAACATGATCATGAGTAATACAATCTTTATATCTTCTTTGGTGTGCTCTGAAACATTGTTGAATTCCCAAATGACTAGCTTTAATCACATTAAATTCTGCAGTAACTCAAATTAATGGCAAAAAGTTAAAAGCATACCGATCTAAAAATTTGTCCAATTTGCTCACTGAATAACTCAGCCATCAATAAAACGCTACTAAATCTTTTTATCGTGGCTCCACTTCCTTCCTTCTGCTTCCAAGCCATCAATATGCTTTGTGTAATTTTGATCGGCTGAAAAATAATTTCCAGAAATTCAACAGCTACGCATTTCCATTACGAATACAAACACGCATAATTCCTATTCTGACAACACGCATTCAAACATATTTCTGCAGCACACCTCTTCTAATATATCATCTTCTTCTTTCGGAACATCCATCGCGTGTGCTAAAGCTAGCCAACTTTCTGCTAATATAGGTGCCAATTGTTCAATGTGTGAATCAGTCAAAGCAGCAGAGGCTTCAATCCGTTCCTTTCTAAAACTATATGGTAATCACACTCATGAACAAAATGATACGAAAAACTATTGAACAAGTAAAAGAGATTTATATTACATATATTCTAAACGATCTCTTCACAATCTGTCCACCGGAGCCGAAACTGAATGCTCAATCAGAAAAATTATGTTTCAAGCAGTAGGAAAAATATAAACTTCAAGTCACAGTTCATCAATTTAAAAGTGAAGCCAAAGCATAAGCGATTATCGTTTAAGTGATCTCATCACAACCAATTGATGATTATGGGGACCAGCAATTACTGAGGAATTTTTTCAGATTATTGAATAATAAGTTAAAAATAACAAACAAATAAAAAGATGCATTAGAAACAAGCGATATCTTAAATGCAATGAAAGCAAAAAATTAACCCATTTGGAACACTGGAAGGAACATTGTCACTAACAACTTCTGTGCAAATTTGACTGATATTTTCAAAATCTGGAAAACGATCTTTTAATTCCTGAAATATGATACAGCTAAAAATAAATAAATTGCGCCAAAAATGCACATTTGATTACGTGTTGTATAGTTTTTTACGTATTTATCAATGCAAATAATTTAAAACTGAAAAGTTAATTTGATTGCATGAAATACCAATCAGCCAATTCCTAAACTACTCACCGGGATCTCAGAAGCAGTCTGTTTGATGACTTCGTTTAAAAATGGTGCCAGATTTGCTACTACTTCATTTTTTTTTGGCGGCATCTGTAAACATGAAAAAATGAATATCTTTTATCAAAGCCAAAAAAGTTATCATACCTGAAAATATGATGCACTCTGAGACATCAAAAGTCGTGAAGCTCTCCACTGAAACATTTCATTGTTCATCAGTCTGAAACACTATCCACTATTCGTTTCTCTTTGTTAATCAAAACTATCATTCCTCACTATCTCTTATAACACACTTGCATAATATTTAAACGTAAGAAAAAGCACTTTTTGAGATTATTTTATGAGCGATTTTGATCCCATAATTAAGATAGATGGATGGAGTGCAAAAAATAAATTCATGCAAAAAATTACTGATACTGTTCTTCAACTAACTGCTTTGGGTCTAATTCATCGAGCCGATTCTCAAGAAATGTTCTTAAGTCCGGTATAAAATTTCTGCAACAAATTTTACATTAATCACTCTACTTACTTATACAAAAAAAGCACATGATCTAAATTGTAGACTTATTCGCAACTGAGAAATGAAACCAGAGCATATATGAGCAAAATCTGTTTTGACAAAATTTGAGCAGCAAACTTGGAAAATTTGTTAACTCGACTTATACTTTTGTTGTTTAAAAATCTACCGCTTCGGGTCTTCACATGCTGACAGCATATCCGGATTTATATTCCACAGTCTTGTTAGCTCTGAATTGCCTAGATCACATTGACTGGGATCGTATTTTTGTTTAGTACGCCTAATCAATAAATTACTATGTAAAATTCAATTAAATATTACGCACTTTAATACATACAATAAATTCTCTTTGATTGAATTCTATACTTCATCTAAAAAATACTCCTTTACATAGCTAGTTTTTTTATAAGCTTCAATTTTATATCAAAATGAATCGCCATTGCTTACCTCTTAAAAAAAGATCCTTTCTCTTTATCCACTAGTTGTGTATAGTCAAAGCAACCTCTGTTTTTCCACTCAGACCATTCCTTTTCCCGATACAAAATTGCCTAAACAAATTTAGTAGTACACAATGAATTTCTATCGGCAAACTTTTGCTACCTTTTTGTAGAAACTTACTCGGATAGCTTCGGAGAAAGTTGACCCTTCAGGATGCGTTTCACGTAATAAACGGAAACATTTCTCTGTCGACTCAATAATAAATCGTAACTGTTCGTCATTTAATATAAAAGATTTACTGAAAATAAGAAATTAGCGACAATACATTAAATGAATACATGACAACAATTAAAGAAATACCAAAGATACAAAAACTACGAAAAATCGATCGCAATCATTTACTCCTTGAATTTTATGTCTGACACTAAATATTGGTATAAAATCAAGCACTGAAGAAGAAAACAGCGTCGGAAACGTGAATCATTTAACTGCCATTGCAAGAGCTGAAAAAATACAGCTAATTAGCTCCAGAATAATTTTTCAAATCCTGATATTTTTGTCCCTGCATCTGAAGATATAAGAAATAACCTTATGGCTTGTTAAATATTTCGCACAATAATAATCATCACCATCATCATCATCAACATCACCATCATCATCATCATCATCCACGATTTTGGAAGTTGAAGGAGTGACAGTACTTTCATCACTTGGAAACTCCTGCAGCAAAAACAAGACATAATGCTCTTTACTGAGCAAACTAAGATCTGATCATTGCAGAATCAAAACCTTAGCATAGACGACAACGGAAAATAAATATTACAGAACATCTAATATATGATATAAGAAAACCTGCTTAAGGTATCTTCTTTTTAAGTCCTCATCATGATAAAAAGGTGACTCCAGTTTGTAACTTGACAATACATTGAGGATTTCGCTTGTATTCTACAGAAAAATAAGAATGTTTTCCAATTTGAGTTCTCAACATACTATACATTACAATAAGAGGAAATTTAACATGATATATATATTGATCATGAAAAATAAGTCGTAATGTAACACTTGTTGGAATGTCTTCCACTTTGATTTTTCAAAACAAATTGCTGGAGAGGCGAAAAATGTTTGCAACAACCAAAACTTCGCATAAAGAGTGTGATCAACTGTAGCTTCCCTTAACAAGTCAAAATATGAATAATATTTTTTCCTAAGGAAAAAACAAAATTTAATTATCACCATCACGTATTTTAGAAATCTTTAATATATTAGAAAACTGAAAATGCAAATTACAGTTTTTTATTTCTTTCGAGTTCACTAAATAGATGAATGAGAAAAACGATGAGGGTAAAAAAAAACAATTCTAAATTTGAAATTAAGACAATTACCGCTCATTTATCTCCCCAACTTCCATACTCTCACTGTCTTCTTCTGGAGGTTCATCAATTGAGGGACCTGGATCGGCCTGATATTTTAAATAATGTATCTTAAAAAAGTATTTTCGATTAAGAAAAAAGAGGTTTTTGACAAATACATGACAATGGATCATTAGAAACAATCAAATTATCTTACATTAGATGTGATTGAATAAAAAATTTTGCAAGAAAACAAAAAGTCAGATGAGGAAACAAGTATTTACCAGTTCGTAGCTAGTTATATTGTCCAAGTTGAAATGACTGACAAGATTTAAGCCAGACTTTTCACACAGTGGTAACGCATGAGCCAGCAAGACTAATATTCGGCCACAGAAACTTGTATTCAGTGTTCGAGAAAGACGTTTCAACAAATCATTGCACATGCGCAATATCATATTTTTGCATGGCTCGAAAAAAAATCCCTGCAAATTGATAAAATTCAGTTTTAGTACGGAAACATTAATAAATTACGAAAAAATTCAGCAAATTTGTCAAAATCTGTACCACTTTCCACTGGTCCAGGCTTTCCTCCACGATAACAAAAAGTTCTTCACATCTTTCGATGGAGACAGCATCAAACACATCTTGCATGATAGTAACAGTAGTTCCTTTAGAGCAAAAGTCTGTAAAGTTGTAATAACGAATACCAAACAATAAATCATATTTCGACAAGAAGCAAAAGTAAATGTACACATTAAACCTTCTTTTGCTATTTCAAATGTAAGCGCCAATAATTGTCTGAGAAGATTTTCTTGTTCAGAAGCTTTAGAGCACTGTATTTCAAAAGCTTTCTGGTGCAAGGCATTTTCTACCGTTAACCTGATGATTTCAGTAGGACAGCTGAAATACTTTTCTCTGACATATATATAATGCATCCAGTTATAGTTTTCAATCAGTGACGACTCTTCGTGATAATTATCACTGATAGGTAGAATAAAAAATAAAGCTTCAAATGTGTACTAATTAGAATACTGAACAAGAACATTTGTACTTCTGTTCAACATTCTATTCTTAATTTATGTGGTGAGGAATGGTGCGATGATTCAGTAAGTGATAATTCACTTCCAAAACTGTGACATACCCATCCTCTTTCAATTTTTTGTATTCCATCTTGATGTCTTCTAGATCCATAGCTAAAACTGCCTTGTCCATTACAGTAAAAAACGGAACGAAATCTGAAAATCATTCATTATTTAATCTCATAAAACTTACTTTACTGCCATATTAAACAGCACTTACAAACTACCCACCAAGAAAAAATGAAACACTAGATTATTCAGTTTCTTATCCGTTTTATATTTCCAGTACATCATGACAATGTTGCACAGTCGTTGCATGATTCAAAGTGTGAAATTAAGATACTGAAATTCATTTTGCATTTTCATGCTTCAATAAATTGTAATTATCAGTTTTGTCTTTATATATCTTTTAGAAACATAAATAAATGCGTACTCTTTAAGAAGTACGGGCATTCTGGATGATAGCGATATCAATTATTGAATGGATTCTCCCTTTTGATTCTTTTGAATTAGAAAAGTAAAAGTGAAATCTAGACGTAAAAAGCGCTAAAGTATCACAACATAACTCCCATCTTTTAACTGATTTGATTAGAAAAATCAATTTCTATCGTTTTTAGATCTTTGTATAACGAAGTAAGTGTGAATATTATTAACTGTCACATAATCATAATTAAGCAAAAAAGATTCATTTTCTCATCATAGTTATGGATTCTGAAGTTTAAAGGAATTACAGATGTGATTAACATCATAATGGTGTTTTTTAAAATTTATGATAGATTCTCGTTGTGCAAATAATGGTTATTACCATACTTTTTATATCTCAGACTTAATGAAATACATAAAATTAAATTAAGATTGAACGTAAATGCTAAAAATTTTGGAAAATATGGTAATTAATAAAAACTTTCAAAAACTTCAAAATATGAAGTTTTTTCAAGTTTCAAGCATAATTTACTGCTTTTTTGTATCGTAACAAGAGAATAAAAAGTGTCAGAAGAAGAAATAATCTTATATTATAACCAAATAAGAAATGAATAAATGATAATGCAAAAGTAAGCAGTAAAGTTTTGTTTATTATTTATTTAAATTACAAGAATTAGATTTGATTTGTGTTTTTTAAACTGCCACTTTGTTTAATATTCGACATGTACACATACATATACAAAGTTAATTCAAAAAAGGAATAAAAGATGTGAGTGAAATTCGTCTTGGCAATTGCATCAGCTCAGTTCCGTTTTCGGTCTAAAAATAGCGAATTGTTGAGATTAAAAAAAAAAAAAAATATTTTATTTGCAACTAAAATACGAAAATTTGGTCATATTGCAATTTGGCATCAATTTATTTAAATATTTGCTCGTTATTTTTCTTGCATTTTTCAATTTTCTCTTCATTTAACTTTTTTCTTCTCTTTTTTTTCCATTTAAATTTTTGTTTTAGTTGATTTTATTGCTTCTCTTTATTATTCAAGTCTTATTATCATTTTTTGAAGTTTACTTTAACTAATAATATAATATGCAATTATAATTTTTTTGTTTTTTTGCATTACAAAGCAGCTAATATTTATTTCATCGTTTAATTATAGGTTTTTTTGTTTTAATTTTTATTTTAAATTCTATCGTATATTACATGCTTAATTTTCATTTAAAAGAAATGCTAACCATTAGGAATTTCATTTATCAAATTGCTTGGGGCCACTTGTATGCCTGGATTTACATTCACATCATCTTTGTAAGTCATAATAGTTATCGGTTCGTATTTCATATCACTTTAATATATAAAGCGTGAAAATTTGACGTACACAACATTTTTGCTAAGAATCAGCGAAAAAAAAATCAAAGATAACCAACTCATATATATATATATATTATGCACATTATTATGTCATGTACTACAAAAAATGAATATCTTATTTGTATATTAATTATTACTGTGAATTACATTAGTTCTGCTTGTGTTCATTTTCTTTTCAAATTACATATTTCAAATTTTTCTTACGATTATTTTGCGTCTTACCATTCAATAGTTTAAAATTTATACATCTATATATATTTTGCTCTAATTTTCTCCTTAATTCCATGTAATTTGATTTAAATGTAAAGCTTTTTCGCTAATTCTACCGATTTTCCAAGTTACTAATTACCAAATTAGAAACAAATGCACATAATTAACTTTTATAAATATTAAAACTACAGCAAACCTTAGTCTACTATATCCCTGCTTCGATTTCATAGTTCCTTTCCTCTGATATTCATTGTTTAACGTAGCGTGACTTGTGGACGGTATTTGACTATATGAAGCTCTGCTAATATAACCTGGTGGTCCAGCTACTTCTGATTGCATTTGATATCTTTTGTCTGAAGTACAACGACTTAAAGTGATTATATTTACGATATTATACTGAATATCAAACTCACATTTACTTTAATAAAAATGCTAACTGTTAAGAATGTAAGCAAAGCATGAAATTCGTATATATATTTTCATGCCAAAACTAGTTTATTATGATCTTATTAAAGTTGATTTTTTCCAATCTAAAAATAATGATAGTATTTAACATTGAAGATAAAATAGTGATATGAATTGTGCGAAGAGAAAGTAAAAAAGTATGAAAGACAAAGTAATTAACAACAAAATTAAGTGCTACAATAAGACGGTTTTATTGCTAACTTTCATTTCAGTCATTTATTTCATTATATTTTGTGTATTCTTCCAAATAAGTGATTAATGACAAATATGTCATATAAAATATGAAACTTACTGAAATATCTAAAGTAACAATTAGCACTGTTATTATTGCCAATGTTTTAATCAGATAGTTCATACTTACGCAGCACATCTTCAACAATTTCCCTTGGAATTTCACCAATACGAGTTTCATGAAATTCTTTTGGAATAGGTATTTCTTGTATTGTGCCATATGAGCCGATAAAACGAGAGCCAAAATTCATACTTGGAAATGGTATTTCTATTTTAATGTTATGTGATTCTCTATATCTCGCACGGCTTGGACTATTCTGATATCCATCAGTTTTACGACCAGCATCTGAAATTGTCCTTTGTCAAGTTTATTTCATGCTTAAATATAAAATTTTTCAAGTAAAAAATGTATGCTTCAAGTTGCAAAAATTTTCTTGTCCACTTTAAATTAATATAAAAAGATTCATTTGCTGATGACTTTAAAAACTTATTTTAATCATAGCTTCAAATGTAATACAATGTAAAAGATGGCATCTGAGATTTAGGATCAAAATATAATCTAGTTTAAGACTATGATTAATGTAGAGTTGAAGATAGAATGAGTTGAAAGAAGTAATGAACATCCAGGATACTGCTGCTCTTTTTTTGCTTTATTCAAATTGCTAACTTTAATTTAGGATTTTATAAGATCGTATGATTTTTATTCGATCAAGCCTGTAAAACTTTGTTATTATCTACATAAACATGAAGAAAGCAACTAATAACTTTTCTATATTAAATTTTTTTGACTTTCCCACTAATCAAGCTTAGTTTTGATACAATGCCATTACATAATCTAATTTTAAGAGCAGCTCATTTTTACACAAAAGTTGTCAATGAATATTTTTTGGTTATTTTAAAAGTTTCATGTATTATTTCATTATGTTGTTAGTATGAACTAGCATAAACTACTGTGAAAACTTACCAATTATAATCAAATAGTACTGATAAGATCTGTTATAAACGGAGTTATATGAAGTGACTTATACTAGGCGATGCAAATTTTGATCGAAAACTGATCGACAATGGGATTGAATAATGAGAACTTCTAGCAAAGGTACCTCTCATATTAGAAGTTACTGGAAGATTAGTATTCGGTTCACAAGCATAATTACAGTTTGTGCTGTCAGAAGATGTAGAATATCCGGGTGGGCCTTTTGCTTGTTCATAACAGCATATTGGATTCATAGGGTAATCAGCACTTGCAGAAAATTGCTGCGGTGCTAAGTTAGAAGATGTGTAAGAGTAGGAACGTGCATATGATCCTCTTTTATCCCTAAATTTTAATATTGACAATAATGTGAGGATTTAAGCTGTAACTGAGAAGTAAAAAAAAAGCAAAAATTTCGCTTTTTATGTCAGTCGTAAACTGCTAATAAATATATGAAATTAAGTAATTAATTTTTTCAGTACTATTTTTTGGATGCATGACAATAAAAACTAAAACTTACCGTTTAAAAATGAAATTATTTGTATTTAGACTTGCGCAAGCAGTTATAGTAAAAATGATGAAGCAATAAAATTTTTGATGATGATTATTCATTGTTATTATCTAAATCAAATGCAGCATAATATAATAGTTAATTAATTTAAATATTTTAAAGCCTATTAATTTAAATAATATATCCGCTTTATTGTATTGCATATGAGCTAGAAAGCACAAAAAAAACTAAAACATGATAAATTTAAGTATGCTGAAAATTAAAAGAAAGAATTAGAGAACTAACTCTTTTGAATTTTAAAAATTATTGTAAATTACAAAAATACAATGAAATTATATAATGAGTAATACTTGGTAACGTTGTATAACCAGTTAATACTTTTTCATTACAAGTCTATTTCATGTTCCAGCTGGACGTCATTCAAAACTTGCTATGGAGTACAATTAGTTACCTTTTGCCATCATTAATTACTCTTATATAACAGTAAATAAATAAATAAATACACTATTTTTGATTGAAATTGCAAAAAATTAAAAGAGAAAAAAAAAAGTTCAATCATCGTTTATTCTAGCAAAAAATTTCTCATTTATTTAACAAAAGATCTTTATTTTTTTTATCTTATTTGGCAAAAAGATTTTTTATAAAAAATTATTCAATGATTTTCGTGAGCAGTTCGTTGATATGTCTGCACATTTTATGCGTATTAATTGATATCCAAGTGAATACAATATGTACACATCATACAATTTTGTTAGTTTTTATAAATTACACTCTTTTGTAAGCTTTGAAAAAAAATTCTTAAAGTTTTGTATATATTTAAGCATATCACTTTGTCTTAATTTGTCATTTATTTTTTGGGAGTTTCTTGCACTGGGAATCAGGGATACTATAAAATGTTAAAACAGCAGCTAGCAGCAAAAAATAAAAAATGATCTAACATTTCAGTAACATCAAAATAAATTCTATCTTAATTGAT